GAGGAGTGGGGGGGTGTGGGGTAGATTGCAATATTTTATTTTGCCCCAGGCAGCAGCAGATGCGATTCAAAATGGAGGAGTGAATCTGATAAATAATTAACCTTCTTCGATAAATAAGGGCAGGTAATAGAGTGTGTGCATTTTTATGTGGATGACAAATTCTTTTTAAATGCGAACATATTACAGCGGTGAAAAAAAATAGGTGCTACGTCCTCTTTTTAAATAAATAAATATTATGTTATACCAATTAAGGCAAATACAGTTCAAGTGCGTTGACAAACAGTGGGGGAATACCTATATCGGTAACTAAAAAAAAAATCTTTTAACCCTATCTCTTTACACACATGAAATCTAAATTCAAAATAAATCCATAATTTACTTTCCCTTTACCGTTCAGAGCTATATATATATATATATATATATATATATGTGTGTGTGTGTGTGTGTGTGTGTGGTTATAGTTATAATACGATAAATCTGGTAATATGTTTCTTAAATGCACATATCAAGGGTGTGGAATATTGTCGTACTTTGTTCAATAATTTGGGACTTTTGTTTGATTGTTTTGTTTCGCGCATATTCTATGTTTGTAGAATTGCTTTATAATTTAACCAACCCCCCTGTAGCTGACTCTTTTTCACGCAGAGTTAGCAAATTCGTATATTTCATAATATAACAAAATTAGAATTGCATACAAATCTAAAACACATTCATTGTGTAGGAAAGTGGTTCTCAACCTTCCTAATGCAGCGACCCTAATTTGAGAGGGTACTACTTCTCAGCTAAGTGCTTTGTTTTAATTTAATTTTTTTTCTGGGGGTTTTTCGCTGACGAAGGTTTCCAGCCGACACGTTCGTTGTTTGTTGCGTTTCTTCTTTCAGGTTTGACCACACTTTGTTTAACTCATTTCCTTTTTTTTTCTAACCTGATTGCAGTCTCTCACCTTATGACCCTTTAATACAGGTCCTCGTGTTGTGGTTGATCCCCGACCCATACAAATTATTTTCGTTGCTACTTCATAAATACGTGTTTTCCGATGATCTTAGGCGACCCCGTCTGTAAGGATTGTTCGACCCCTCAAAGATGTAGCGACCCACAGGTTGAGAACCGCTGGTGTATGAGAGACCTCATCTAACATTCTAGGTTGAGAAGATTGATAAGCCGTGTAGTGTCACGTTTGTAATAAGCATACAAAAATCCAAATTAAACTCCAATACAAAATGTGTGTTTCCTAATTTTGTTCATAAAATTTTAGCTACTCCTTGATTGATAGTTGTATAAATCAAAGTGTACTATGATAGATTTATTTATAGTTATTATAATTAAGTGTACTATGATAGATTTATTTATAGTTATATAATTAAGTGTATTATGTCTCTTTTCATAATTTTTTTTTTTTTTTTTTTTTTTTTTTTTTTATTTTTTTTTTTTTTTTTTTTTTATTTTTTTTTTTTTTTTTTTTTTTTTTGCTGGCATCCGTCCGTCACAATCATAATGTGACGATGGTGTAGACTTCACGGGATGAAATCCACAAGGCCTGTGATTATTCTTGTGGGTTTATACACTGGTTCCCTACAGCAAATCGCCTCTCTCCACGCCGCTGGATAACCCTAGGGAACATCATGTGGATGATACATGCTTGGCACCAGTGACGTCGCAGGAGTTGTCGGCATGTTTCATTGTGTCGGTGGTGTCCGCCTACGGGACTCGCTCTCCGGGATTGAATTCAGATGTTTTTGCTTGACTGGGCTTTGGTGGGGATTGAACTCAAGACCATGAACTTGAGATTGGTTCAGTTTAGACCACTCGGTCACCCAGCGCCCAATTATTTATAGTTACAGTTATAAAAATCATAGAGTTCTATGACGGCGTTATATATAGTTATATAAATCAGTGCGACTTTTGATAGCTAAAGAAACTGTTCTTCTCTTTTAGGGCATTTCTATAAAACTCTTGTGTATGGACTACACAACTGACTATAATATATGATTCATTTATGTTTATACGATGGATAAAATTGTATGTTGTCGACTGGCTCAATCATGTTACGGTATGTGTAGAGGCGTTGAAGATATTATTAATTTCTTTTATTTTAAATCTCAAAACTACCAAAGTTAAAAAAGGACAAAACTCGTTTTTATAATTTTTTTCATTCTGCAAAAAAATCGAAAACACTTTTAAATGAACGGACTTTATGGCAGTCTAGTTTATCCCGAGTTAATTACTTTTCAGACCATTAATTACTGTAAAAATGTAATCATTAAATGACTACTCAGTAGTTATCATTGCTGATCTTTTTGCTGGCCCTCACGTTGAAGAGGGAGAAGAAAGCAGACTTGTACTTTGAGCTCATCTTCAAGTAGATGAAGATGGTGACGCTGGAGTTGATGGTCTCAAGGCCGTAGCCAAACGAGCAGACCACGTGGTAGAGGTTCTCGTGACGGCCCACCAGACCGAACTCGGGGACCACCATCGTCCCGAAGAAGACCACTGTGATGGGGAGGAAGCAGACGATGAAGAGCGCCGAAATCATGACCACCATTTTGACGACCTTCCGGTCACGCGTCGAGGCATTGGCGGATTTTCCCGCGTGGGCGGTCTCTTGCCGCCATTTTGTTTTACTGTTTAGCTTGGTTACCAGAACTACCGTGCAGCCGATGACAATGACGAAACCTATGTAGCCGTAGACGTTGTTGAAGGCGAAAGTGACCCTCTCAACGTCGTCGCGATTCAAACGGAATTCGAGCCCGATCAACGATCGATTCCGCGTTGGGTAGAATTTCATGGCGAAGAAATCGACCGTGTAAGGAGGAATCGTACTGCAGATCAACACAAAGAATATCGCTACGATAATCACTACCGTCCGCCTCGGCGTTAAAGTGGTTTTGACCTTCAACGGGATTACGACGCAGAGACACCTCTCGAGGGTTATGTACGCCGTGATCAGGCCTGTGATTCTGGCGAAGCAGACGTGAGGCCACCCAGCCGTGATGTACTGCGTCTCGAAAGACTCGAACCCGATCTGGGAGTACCTGAACAGCGGGTTGAAACACAGGTTCATCCACTGGAGGGTCAGCAGGCAGCACAGATCGGACACGGCGAGCCCGAAGAGGCTGACGTTGACCGTGTCGGCCAGACCCTGCCGGAGGAACACGACCATGTTGATGACGTTCGTGGCGGTGCCGAAGAGGTTGATGGCGGTGCTGAGGATGCAGTAGTTGACCACCAGAATGACTGCCCGCAAGGCGTCGCTGACAATCTGCGGGGAACCGTTCGAAACGTCATCTGTGTAGTTTTGGTCCGAAATCGAGGTATTTTCGAAAAAAGGCATTATCTTAAAGACATGTGCATCACACATCGATAAAAGAACGAATTTTACTTTTCGTCGCGGATAAACCAGGTTGGATAGTCGGTTGAAATTACTTTTTGGTTGAGATTTTGTAAAAGATCGGAGGAGGAAAAGAAATATGAAACGAACCCAATGCTTCAGAAAGCAATTGAAAATATTAAAATTCGAAGTAAAAATGAACTAGGCCTATATATGAAAATAATTAATCTAGACTCTTTAAAATACAAAAATAAAATGATAAATAAAGTAAAAACGGTATTCGTCATTAAATTAAAAGGTTAGAATAGATGATTAAACAGTATTCTGGGTCATTTCAGTCCACTAAAGCTTCATAGGCGCAGGTAAATTAAATATTAGCCGAAGTGAAAATTCGGCAAATAAATATATACATTTTGAAAATAAAATTAAGAAAACTAGTCAATTATTAAAAAGTATAAATAAAAATGTTGCCTATTAGATTATTGACTCTCCCCAGTGTTCGCGGCGAGAATCGGCTTTAATTATAATTATACACTGTAGTTTGTGGCATTGACCTTTCCGTGCACTTACGGTTGTTGCTGTAAATTGCGGTAATTGTGGGAGTAAATAAAGTTGATGTAATTATCGCCGTCAGTGTCAGCTAACGTCATAACGTCAGCTGAGATATTGAATTGAAATCAATGAATGGATAATTAAAATAATTTGTAATTAGTCCAAATTTTTTTTTTTTATTAATGAGTGGAAAATTCAATGTTATCTTAAGGAAATAGCTTTTACAATTTTAAAAAAATGAATTTATTAATGTGTAAAATAGAAATGAAATGTCAACTAAAACATCAATAAGATAATTAATGTTCAGTTTTAATCATTTATTATTTTAAGATGTTCACTATTTATATTTGTCAGTACGATAAATTATTTTTTAAAAGCCTTCTTCTTGTTGTAATTAGAGAATTTCAAGGCAGTAGGGTATTTTGTTCTTTCTTTTTGACTGAACTCGAACCGAACTGAACTTTGCTGTCGACCGTACAAAATCGAAACCGTAGGTCTATTGCCTACTTACACTTCTAAAAGAGGCTTCGATTCCTACCCGCCCATCCCTAAGTCCAAAGGGTACCCTTCTTAGCGAGAAACAAAGCTAGAAAAAAAAAAACTTCAACGAAATTTAATTTTTCATATTAACTTTAAAATATTCCCATGTGAGAGGTATTTCCCCATTAATGAACAATAGCACTGGGTCTGTCACTGACAGTACACAGTTTCAACGAACTAATTCATAAACATTGGAAATATTAATTATATTAAATTGCGAAACTTTAAAAATTAACGATACACTACAAAGATTTATTGCTTAGCAACAAAGATGGCTACTGTTCGTGGTTCAATGGCCGAACAGGTCTGTTTGTTATTTAGATATTTTATTTAAGTGGGTTTACTCGTCTTCTTTTCAATTTGCTTAGATAATTCCATCATAAATTTATGGCAGTAAATTTTATTGATAACAAAAAAGCTAGATTATTGAAAGGCTGCGGCTATTTGGACCCGGGTTTTAAGATAGAGAGATTTGAGTTTGGTTAGTTTATTAAAAAATGTTATTGTAAGGTTTGTAAGATAAAATATTGGTATCAAAAGAAAGATATTTTAATGGACTATATGTTTTTAACTTAATTCTTCAGTTTAAATAAAATAAGCTACCACAAATATTATCATTATTTAGCATGTGAAAAACTATCTATGTCTAACTTTAAGATGCATTGGCATTTTTTTAATCATTTAGCCTATTAATAATATTTTTTGAGGTCTTAACGTACCATTAAAAATTGCTCTGTTACATTAAAAATAATTTTTTTATGCAGTCCAGAATTTTAGATCCAGTTTACTTTCCACTGAAAAATTAGAAAACTTGGTCATCAATATCAATAAAAACTATGCTATCATATTCATATATTTAGTTCAGGTTTGGGGAACTTTTTCCTGTACCTGGCCAAATCATGTATTTTAATTGCATTTTGTAATCAAATAATACCTCACTAAAGAAACTTTTGTCAGTGAATGATCAATGAAAACAATAAAATGAAAGTTATTTATTGTTAATTTTTAAGTTAACCAACCTTTTAATTTTTTATTTTTGAGTTGTGTCTGCTTTTTGTTGGATAACACTTGAGTATCAAGCTCTTCTGTAAAATTTAGATTATGTCAAAAGGGTTCACCCAAAGACTTAGATGGATACATGCCAGAAAAAAAAATCTGCAGTTGGCATAAAATGCAACCCTCAATATAAATAAAAAAGTGCCCCCGCCGCACCCCCCACTTCACTTTCCTACGCCACTGATTTAGTTTATTGTATTATTTCATCACACGCTGAATTATAATTTTACTTCAGATGCTTTTGTCTCATTCAGGGTTACACTCAAGGCAACGACTTTACTGAAATTATTTAATTTTCACTCACACATTGCTTAATTTAAAAAAATAAATAAACAATGTCTTTTTAGCCGAGTAATCTAAGTCTTTGTGATTTAAAAAAAAAAGATCTTTTCCTCTATAGACTCTGTTTACTACCATTATTATTGAGTTTTTCAAGCTATTTTATGTTTCATCAGGTCAGTATTATCCCAGGCCTCTCGACCAAAAGAAAGAACAATGTTCTTGTTGGACAGTTGCTACGGCGACCAAGAGCTCCAAAAGTGCTTCCACCGCTACCGCTCCGTCCAACAAACAATAATGAACTAGACAGGCAGGATAATGATGTCGGATCTGTCATTAGACTGTTCCAAGATGCTTTTGAGCTAGAAGCTCTTCAACATGTTGTGGTTGACCCAGAACTTATTACAAGTGGGGGAAGCAGAGCACCGAGTCTTGCCACATCTCCACCCCCATCTGAGAATGGTCAGCAAAATATTGAAAGACATACCACACAAGCTGATACACAAATGCAAGTCTCCCTTTGGCAGAAACCATTAACACAGAATAGTCTCTTTATCAGCAGAGATGATATGAAATACATATTAGATCCTTTGATTAGAGGCAAAACAAGTCTTGGTACTTATATTGATGGGAAAAGCCTTGTTAAACCATTTAAATCTAGGGGTCCAGATCCTTTACCTAAGAGAGCACCAAGAAAGAATTTATTTATAAACTTGAGTTATGAAACTGACGACCAAAGGTATATGGAGCCACCAGCATTCACATTAGAACAATTTGTTTATAAATTGGCAGAGAGCAGAAATTTGTCTGTGCCGAGGGTGCGCAAGATTGTTTACTCAAAACATAATGTGAAAAAACTTACTGACATGCTGGCGATGGAATTAAATCCATCCACACAAGACAAAGTTCACACAGTGCATTTTGATGGTAAGTTTTGGTATTATAGGAAACATCTAATATGCTTGATATTTATTTATCAGAATAATACAAATTATTAATTCTACATATAAATTAAATATTAATTACTTTTAACATTAAATTTATTATTCTCCAGGTCTTTATATTGTCTACCTTATTTTCCAGTTAATGCATAATGGCTGTGTTGCGTATGGTTGAAATGGCTAGATAGACTTTGCCATTGTATGCTTGTAATTAGTTTTTGTAGTGTTGCGTTTGTTTTAAATGTAAATTATAGATTTGTTTTTTGTTGACTTTGTACCGCGCTTCGAGCCTTTGGGGATGAAGCGTGTTTTTGAAATGAACTTTATTATTATTATTGTATGCTTGTAATTATTTTTTGTAGTGTTGCGTTTGTTTTAAATGTGGTAAATTATAGATTTGTTTATTGTTGACTTTGTACCGTGCTTCGAGCCTTTGGGGATGAAGCGTGTTTTTGAAATGAACTTTATTATTATTATTATCATTATATATTCATATATACATTTCTGTTACTAACAAAAAATTATTTTAAATTTAAAGTGAAGTAATATAATGATAGTTACCATGGGGAAAATAAATGTCATTGATTTAAATGTAAATCAGTGGGCTTACATAATAACAGAACTATTCCTATACAGATCTATTACACTATCCCAAATTTTGAAGCATACTATAGATTTTATACAAGACTAAATTTTTATCTCTTATTTAGCTTCAGATCTTTCAATGAAGGAAAACAGAGTCCCTCAGCGCCAGCTCCTGTATGAGATGGCAGCTATGATAAAGCAGCACGTGAGAGAAGCAATGGGGACTGAGATGAAATCTGTCATCAGGCCCATGTCCAAATACAGCCCAGCTTATACAGAAGCATCAAGACCTCACACAGAGATTATTCTTTATGAAAACGATGCCAGTGTTTTATCAAATACAGCGACGAGGATCAAACAGTAAGTTAAAAAGATCTGACATAGAGGGGGACCTTATTTGCATGGAATGAAATACATAAACAAAAAACTTTTAGGAAAGCCTTGCAATATTTGTCTTGATATATACTTGGAATCGTTTCCCTTGAATTAAAGTGACTTGTAACAAAGTATATTTCAGAAGTTTAGCGAAAAGAAAAATCTCTTTTGAAATAGTTTCATTCATCCTTGACAGTAAATTGGCCAATTAAATTTATAAATGTTTGTTGGAACAACGGGTCTACCATAAAAAAATAAGAAGAAAATTAAATTTATCAGCTGCTACAAGTCAGCGTAAATATTAACTCAAGCATTAAATGTCTTTTTTTTTTCCCTCTTCAAATTTCTTATTATTCAATCTCACTTTTCTGTACAAGCCTCCAGCTCAATACATGACTTATATTCAATGGTTTTTCTGTTAAAATTGAGCATTTTTGGGAGTGAGGGTGTGTGTTCTATCTAAAAAAATGTTTTTTGAAATTATTCTCTGCTTGTGCAAATTTGAATATGCCAAAATTTGCCTGAACTTGGTTATATAAAATAGTTGAAATCTGTCCTCTAGAATCTCATTGCTATCAGTTGGGTGCATAAGATTCATCTGCTCTTGTTAATAATTAAAGGGAGTTTAAAAAA